GAAACCCCCGTGCTACCATCATCCAGCCGACAACGCCTTGAAGCCAGCACCTACTGTGTAGGTCCGGGGTATCTGCCAGCTTGAGACTGGCTGAATCCATAGCGGGTTAAGAGGCCTTTCTAACCTAACAGTTGATGATCGTCAATGCTTAGTTTCCAGGGCCGCTGATGAAATGCAAGGTTGCAAGTGAACAAGAAAAAAAACGTCGCGCGCCACGAAACTGCCGATCAAGTCCGAACTACCGATGCGCTGACTCGCCTGTCTTTGATGGTGATTGAGACACATAAGGATCGTTGCTTGCAATGCGCTACCTTTCTCCGAGCAATTCTCGCTACCTTTCTCGAGTGCTCACTGGGCGTTTTAATATGGGACCAGCAGTCTGGTTTCGTAAGCCGCCATGCTCGACACGGTCGGATTTCCATCTTACTCCATGGTCATCGCATCAGGTCTGCGAAGCTCTCAAGTGGTACAGCGTCTAGGACTCTGCAGCAAAGTAGTCGATAAGTGGGGAAGTTGTGAGTTAGCTGCACCACCAGGACCTGGTGACCAGGTGGTTGCTCTGTCTACCATGGAGGGCGAGCGTGTACCTGAGGCGCGGGGTCCTCAGTTCGCGAAGTTTCTCCATCAAGTTGGAGTGGAAGAGTTCATCGATCCCCTTCGCATTGGTGGGGTCATGAAGGCTCGGGTACTGCGATGAGTCATGCGAGTGAGGCGTCATGAAGTCTCTGTGTAGGTCGGGGATTGGGTGGTTAGAGAGGTCGACATGGACGGTAGGGTCGCGAAGATGTCGGACGAAACGGCGCCGGAGTGGTGGGGTGAACTGGAGTGCTACCATGAGCAGCATACCAATACAGCAAGGTCTCCACAAGCTGATACCTATCCTGTTGGGAATAGCGGTGTTGATTCTACAGAGCAGTATCGACAGGCCTACGAGGAGGGGTGATTTTATAGATAGGCCTCTGCCCTTGGGATGGCCTACCTTAGGTATTGGCTCGGCGATAGGGCCGCAAATTTCATCGAAGAATTTTGCGGAGCTGAAGCTTTGGGGAAGATAGTGAAATTCATGAAAGCAACGCGGGAGGTAGAACTAGTTTGTTCAGTATGCATGAGGAGCAGTAAGCAGCTCTGAGTTTGGGCTCTATAAGTTCTAGAAAAGGTCATGAAGAGATATACTTCAGGAAATGGGAGGGCATGATGATGGGGACTATCGGCGGCGACTATTCGAATGGAAATTCACTGGCGGGCCGGCGGACATTGTTGTTGTGTATAAAATACGCGGTGCGATATCAGGCATGTTGAAAGAGGTAGCAGGGAGGTACTCTAGTGGGAAAGTCCAGGTAGATGGTTCAGTCTCTCGCTGTGGTGCCGTTCAAGCTGCTCTCTGATAAAGTCATCTACTATGCCGCTGTGAACGTCAGGAGGAATGAGTTCCTCTTGAGCTGCATGGATCGGTCAGACGCTGCTCGAGTGCTTCGTTTCTTTGGTGCTGGGTAAGAGCTACTCAATAACCATGTCGTACACTCGCTCTCTGAAGTAGGTACTCCTCGGAGACCTTACTGGTCCCTGTGAGGAACGCACAAGGCGAAAGAGGGCAGGTTGTAGAGAAAACATTGCCATTACATTTTCCGGATATACGGGTTAGCGTCTATGAAGAAGAGACAGAGTCAAATGTAGTCCGGCCAAAAGTTACCGTATCGGACTGTAAAGTGGTTTGGTGGCAGGGCGCAGTGGTGGAATTGAGCTGGGCGAGGAAGTACTCACCTGTTGGACTTTACAAGGGAAGCCGCTGGAGGTTCACTCTGATGAAGGCTGGTTGGGACACCACTGCGATACAGCGAGCTATCGAGCGGGAACTTGATCTCCCGAAGGATAGCATGCACTTTGCTGGGGTGAAAGACAAGTTTGGTGTTACGTACCAGTGAGTAGATGTCCGCGGCAGTCGGATCGGCCCTACTGCGAAGGTGCAGGTACGCGACTCTGCCGGCCACACATAGTGAGGAGCAGATCAGAGAAGCTGTAGAGAGAGTGAATGTGGGGAGAAGGAGCAGTGGGGATGTGTACGTGGGGGTGGACAGCTTCGAGAGAACCGAGGTTGAAGGAGGGACGACGGAGTTAAGGCATGGGATGCTCTCTGGGTGAGTACTGCGATCGGAATGGTTGTGAAATTACCACAGCAGTAACTGCTTTCGACTGCGAATTCGGGATGTTGAGGGAGGCGCTGATGAGAAGGTCCGTGCATCGAAACTAGCCGATACGGGTTTCATCAATTACTACGGTTTGCAGCGGTTCGGCGTCAACCCTCATCACGATGAATCAAGGCATAACAATGTAGTACATGTGTGGAAATCTTCCGGATGACTGGGCGGTATAAGGTTGATATCGGGGCCGCACTGGTTTCGGGTGATTACGAGAAAGCAGCGAAACTCATACTTACCCCTGCTGGCTGCGATAAAAGGAAAGTCGCCGACGTAGGACTGTCGAAGGGATGGTGGTGAGCAAAGGTGTTGCAGATACTGCGGGAATGGCAGGAAACAGGAGAGTCCACTGTGGCCTCCGAGCGACTACGGAAGGTGCGCTCACGGGATCGAGACGTGGAGATGTAGCAACTTGAAGGCGTGTGGGAATGTATGGTCATTCACAGGTGGGCGAGGATGATGAGCGCTATAGTGGCATCACCAACAGTTGAGGGATACAGAGGAGCTCTCAGGGCGGGCGTGCCTCGGGCCTTACTGCAAATCCATCTCCTGGCCTACCAGTCCTGTCTGTGGAACAGGATGGCTTCTAGGTATACTCCTTAGGTCTATCCGGCTCTGCAATGTATCTCTGTCGTTTAGGAGGATCCGAGAAAGCGGTTTAGAGGTTGTTGAGAGTGATGTGGTCTGGTGTAAAGAGAAGGGGGATATCACAATGGTGGGCTCTGCGGTTGACAGGTGGGA